TCTCGTTCCTTGACCGAGTCCCTGACTTTTCAGAGGGGGTGACACCAAAATGACTGTCAGACATTTTGGTGTCACCCCTCCAATGGTGTCACCCGGTTGTGGACCGCATCCCCCGCCCCCTCCTTGTGCATCACTGCTGTACTGTGGAAGCTGTGCTCAAAAAAAGGCAGGTGGAGTACAACAAAACACCAGTATTGCCTGTGCTTCATTGCCCTGCAGTTGAAAGTCTTTGCAGATTAGGCAAGGCTTCCCTGGCCACCAGGAGTTTGAGTGACATCAAGGACTAGGAGGGGACACAGAGGCATTGGGTTGGGGAACAGTAGGAATGTTGGCACTGTTTGCAGGAAACCAGCAAGAGGTAAATACTCACATACATGGTGTGGTGATAGGGTCTCTTTAATAAGATGTATATGAGCTTTTAGACAAGTGCCCATTTAACTCTGTACATGCAGGCATTGTGGAGCAATTCATCCTCAACATTTACATCAGAAAGTGCTTTCACTTTTATTTTAACAGCTTAGCTCACACTGGTCCTCCACCCAGCAGTGACCTGGCATCCTTCTAGCCTCTAATATAAGCATAGAACAAATTCACAGGGGGACAGCAAAAGTCCTCAGACCTGACTTGAAGAACTTCACTTCATCACCTAGGGCCACCACATACTTTCTGGACTGAGATGCAGCAGAGATGACACAACCATATATTGTAAGTCTTGGCTGGGCAGTTCTTGGCTGTGTTCACAAAAGCCTGACATAGATCAGCCCCTGCTGCTGCCTCTTACCTTGTGACTTGCAACAAAGTTAAAATGTAAATGTTGAAGTCTGATCACTGGGGGAGAGGGGACTGAGGAAAGGCTTCCTCCTGCCTGCAGAAGGCTTATGACATCATATCACCCTAGGCAAAGCCACTGCACTTTTTCTGTGCCAATGACTCTGACAGAGAGAGGAGCTGAATGATAGCCAAGCAAAGAACATTTTCAGAAGGAGAGGTCAGTGCTGTTTTTTTTTTCCAATGCCTTCCACTTTCTAATTTCTTATGCCGTCCTCTCACCCGTAGCCTCCTCCTGGAATAATGTCATACATCCCAGGAGGCTACCGGCCCAGTCTCCCTGCAGACAGGATCTCGAGCAATGACTCCTACCAGTCATGCATATTGCTTCCCAGGGCAAAAATGGCTTCTTGGAGGATTGGTAGACGTCAAGTACGCATTGTTTTGGTAACGGTCGCCTGTCCTGGGGCAGTGCAGGAACGATGACTATAATGTGATAATGAATAGGGCTTTCATGCTTGTTTACTCAGAGCCTCCATTCCCAGAGCAGAGCCGTTAGGAAAGCTTCTCTCCTAGCAGTCCATAAACAGCTTCACACCAGCCAACTCCAGAGGGCAGGGACTCCACAACGCCTCAGCCGGGGAAGATGCATCATTGTGATGGGAATGGAAAGGAAATGTCCTTTAAAATCCAGCAGCTAATTTGTACTACATGGAGGAAAGTGGGCAAAAGCCAAGTGTCTCTGCGATTCCAGGGAATGTAAAGCTTACACCATTTATTTCAGATGTAAAAGAGATCAGATTGTACAAATAATGTTATCAATATGTGTTAACGTCTAAAAAAAAGTGTTCCATGTACAGTTTGTAATTATATATGAACATGGGGGCAGACATATTTCCTCAATACACATAAAGGCTCTGCTTCCTATTTTGCACTGCTACCTAAAAGCTGCTCCTTCTCAATGTGACCCCCTAAAACAATGCACTCCATATGCCGACTACATCTGTTAGTTGTATCATTGAACACATTTTGTTTATCTGTAGGTGCAAAAAATACCTGTTGATTCTTCCAGAAACCTAGTGAGCTTAACTTCCTATGCTCTCTGCCTGAGCTGCACCCAGGGCCGGATTTCCGACAAGGCCAATCGAGGCCCGGCCTCGGGGCAGCAGGGAGTAGAGGGGCAGCAGAGGTGTGGAATTCCTATCTCCCGACACCCAGGACACATTTCCGGGCGCCAAGCGGTAAGTCAGGGATCCCACCCTCAAATAAGTCATTTCAAGGAGGTGCCCTTCTCATTTCAGGGAGGTGCCTTCTGCCCCCCCCCCCACTGCCACCAATGGGGGGGGGGGCTGCAGCAACAAGGAAGAGAGCACCATCCTGAAATTATGGCAGATAGCAAAGAAGCTAATGCAATCTAGCTATTCATTCCTATGCCGTTTTTTTCTGACTGATGGCAGCCTGGCGGCCCTGATGTCAAGAAAAAAAAAAAGAAGAAAAACAGAGCAGAGAAAGGTTTACTCTGCTAGATAAAGCAGAGTAAACCTTTCAGGGAAAAAATGTTTCTCTCCCGGATGTGCGGGAGCCGCTATCTAATAGCGGGAGACTCCGGGAACGTCCGGGAGAGTTGAGATGTCTGGTAAGTTTTCTACATTTAGTCCTGCTTTGGGCAAGCAGGGCTAAATGTACAGCAGCGAATTATGAGGACGGGGAGGAGGGGGGTTGGGGGGACAGCAATATATTACATTTTTGTTTTGGGTTAAGATACATTTAAACAAAAAGCAGGGTGATATCACTGAGCTGCGGAGAGCTCCATCTTGTGGTTACCCTACAGTACATCTCTCTCATACAACAACAAACATATAAATACTCCCCACTGAAAATACTTTTCCCTTAAAGGCAGGGATCCCAACCTGAAGAAAGCAATTTCAGGAAGGTGCCCTTCAGGGAGCTTCTTTGCTATCTGCTGTTTTGTTTTGTTTTTTAGTATTCTGACAGCTGCTGCCGTCAGAATAATAAAAAGAAAAACAAAAACCAGCATAGGAATGAATAGCTAGATTGGCTATTGCACCCGCCCTCTGCTGCTGTCAATTATTGGGAGAGGACCTGATGGAGAACTTCAGGTCCCCCTCTGCTGATCGACAGCAGCAGTGGGCAGGTGCAATAGCTGGTCTGCTATTGGCTATTGCAAAGTGAAACAGCCAATAGCAATGTAGCTATGCATTCCTATGCTGTTTTTTTGTTTTTTCTTTGACTGACGGCGGCCGGTGGCCCCTGATGTAAAGAGCAAAAAAAAAGATTGCAGGAAAAGGTTTACTCTGCTACATATAGCAGAGTAAACCTTTCCGTGAGAAAATGTTTCCCTCCCGGGCGGCCGGGAGCCGCTATCTAATAGCGGGAGACTCGCGGAGCGTCCAGGAGAGTTGGGATGTCTGCTTACAGGAGAAATTCGACAGGAAGTGACAGAAAATTCCCCAATAGGGATACAGAATTTAATAAACAAATCTGACCAATGTTCTTTCCCTCAAAGTTTTGGGATGAAGATGGACTTTATGTAAACTCTTTATTGACATATCCATGTCTGCTAAAAGATACAAAGTCCTGCTTTATAGTCTGTATGTTCCTCTGGCTTGTCCAGTTTCCCATTACAGCCAAAACCTGTGTTCCGAGGTTCATTGGCCTAAATTTACTAAGTTTCACAAGTATTAATTTCTCTGCGAGGGAAAGGCCTCTTGTAGCCATATCTTGGCTAGAAAACCCAATAGACGGTCACAATAGGATAGGATAGCTCTACAAAAGGTCCCCATGGGCTCTATGGAGATACGAGATGGTGGAGCGCTGGACTCTGTTATGAGAGAGTATCCAATGGGTTATAGGTAAGATGTGAATATAAACAGGCAGCTCTCTCTAATATTCCATGGTCATACGCTGGGTCCTTGGAGTGGAGTCTTTAATTTATGAGAAGAGAGAGGCACAAGATTTATATAGTCTAGAAACAGTTTATTAGTTGAGAAGCTCTTAGGATGTGCCAAGGCCATTGACTTACTCTTTGCTACTGCATACTCTTATGAAATCCATCTCAAGGACAAGACTGAAGGACGATATTTTGTACCCGTAAAAGCTGGCACTTCCTAAGAACTTCACAACTAATAAACTGGATACTGTTTGTACTATTAAAATCTTGAGGCACAATGGACGACTACATGTCACTGCAGAGACAGCCATTGTCCTCGGTATTAGAAGGCAGCTCTCTTATATTCCATGGTCATACACTTGGTTCTTCAATATTTATAGGCAGCTCTCTAATATTCTATGGTCATACACTTGGTTCTTCAATATTAACAGGCAGCTCTCAATATTCCATGGTCATACACTTGGTTCTTCAATATTAACATGCAGCTCTCTAATATTCTATGGTCATACACTTGGTTCTTCAATATTAACAGGCAGCTCTCTAATATTCCATGACCATACACTTGGTTCTTCAATAAAAAAAAATAGGCAGCTCTCTAATATTCTATAGTCATACACTTGGTTCTTCAATATTAGCAGGCAGCTCTCTAAGATTCAATGGTCATACACTTTGTTCTTTAATATAAACAGGTAGCTCTCTAATATTCCATGGTCATACACTTGGTTCTTCAATATTAGCAGGCAGCTCTCTAATATTCAATGGTCATATACTTGGTTCTTCAATATAAACAGGCAGCTTTCTAATATTCCATGGTCATACACTTAGTTCTTCGATATAAATAGGCAGCTCCCTAACATTCCATGGTCATACACTTGGTTCTTCAATATAAAGAAGAAGCTTTCTAATATTCCATGGCCATACACATAGTCATTGGATTGGAGTCTTCAGGTCAAGAGAAGAAAGCACCACAACATTTTTATAGTTCAGAAACGTTTATTAGTTGAGATGTTCTTAGGACATGCCAAGGCAATTGGAGAAAGTTTACTCTTTTGCTCCTTCATACTCTTTCTTTAGAGATCCATACCAGGATATTTTGTACCCCGGAAATGTTGGCACTTCCTAAAAACTCCACAGCTAATAAAACATTTCTGGACTAATAAAACCTTAAGGCACCATGGACGCCATGCCACTGGAGAGACAGCTGTTGTCCCTGGACAGCCCAGGAATTCTCGACCATATCTTGACCATGGAATGTTGGCAGGTACAGAATTGTATAGAGTTACAGCCTGTCATGTGATCATTTTGCCACCAGTTGACCTACCTGACCACCTTGGTTCCATTCCGTATCACTTGCATGTCCACCATGCAGCCACCATTCACATATGCAGCTAGGTTGATCTCTGAGAATTCGGCCTGAAAAAGAACAAAAACAAAGTCAAATATTCGGAAAGGAAAAAGTGCATTTCTTATAGAGAGCTTTGGCACATCTACTTGGTCAATACAACCAACAGCCCTCGCCCTCAGCAAACATGTACCCACCGCCTGATAAGGGAGGAGCCACTGTTCACGCTCATTCACTTGTGTGTATACATTTCAGGTTAAGTTACTGAACTCTGCACACAAAATGCCTTTTTTTTCAACAAAGGGGCAAAGATATAGAGAAAAACATTTGATAATTGTGCCCCTGCTGGCACAAAAAGGAGAATATTCGTGTTCAATATCTCATACCTGCCAAAAAAGAAAATATTTGTATTGTTTCATTATTCTAGCTCTGAACATAAAAAAAAAACAAGAAAACAATGTACAAAATAGTTGTTTTTATTGATTAATAGTTGTATTTATTGACTTTTATTGATCAATGGTTACGCTGAAAGTGGACAAGGGTTAGATGGTCACACATCTGCACCACAGCTCTCCTAAACCCAACGCAGACCCATAAGACTTTCAAAAAGAAAAGATCACTTTTTTTTCACGAACTGAATAATAACATGTCTGTGGCTGCCCAGCTCCAGCTGTATGATGTCCACAGGAAAGCCCCGCGATTAACCTGCTCAAATAGTTTCCTGTCCAGCGCTATATTTGGCAGAGTCAGATTTTTTGCTCTTCCTGTTCCAGAAGTTTCTGCAGAGATCCGTCACCCCTGGCACTAGACCTCTCCATGTGACAAGACAATCACTCTAAACGGCTCCGCCTGATGAAAGGCAATGGCCGGGCTGTACACGGCACAGAGCGATTTTCTCTGGTTACAGAAGGACAATGAGTTTGGATTGTTAAAGAGAACCAGCCTGTGAGCAACACTAAGGGTTAAGCTATACAGCAATCGCTATCCATTTACAGTAGGGGTAAACCATAAATGAGTGACATTTACAGGGTTATTCACAAAAGGGTGAAGAGTTTGGAGAAGACAGGAGAAGTGAACAATCTAGGACAACATAGCTGAACTGGAAACATTCTCGAATTCCGCTCACTTTCCAGTTCAGCTATGTTGTCCTAGATTGTTCACTTCTCCTGTCTTCTCCAAACTCTTCACCCTTTTGTGAATAACCCTGTTAGTTTACTCTATGCAATGCGGAACATAAACAATTACCTTTTTTTTTACATAAAATACTGCTTTTACCTTCTTTTGTTGCAGCTCAGTGCTGCCGATCTCCTGTAGCTTCTTTGCAGCCACTTCCTGTCTACATGGTCTACATGCACTCCAGCGATGGCTGCATGGTATTTCTCAGGGCAAGTTTCCTAACACTGATAACAATGGACCATGCTTGTGTAATGTGTGTTGGCATGGCTACTTAAAGTGCAAGCTATTTTGGATAGAGTGGAGAGGGATTAGAACACCTGTCAGGTTTTTATTGCTGTCTATGTCCCCGTTAGGGAGATTCCCCCCTCTCCCCCCCCCCCCCCCCTCCATGTGTCCTGGTGAATGTTAAAAAAAGTGATAGTTAAAGAAAACCACAAACATTGCGTCGTCACCAACACAGGAATAGATGGGAAATCTTCCAATGAGGACACTAGTTCTGAGGATCCTGCTGACCACCTGGCATTTCCCACTCTTTGGAGGGATTTCCTCTCACTTTCTATCAGACGGGAAGTTAAGGGAAAGCTCCCTAAGGCCTGGTTCGCACCTAGGCGTTTTTGAGCAGTAGGAAAAGCCCAACACAAGAAATCCCCTATTCACACGTGTGCAGCAAAACGCCAAACACAGCTTCTTTTGGCAGTTTCATGCTCGTTTTTCCCCCATAGACTTCAATGGAAACACCAAAAAACATGCGGCAGAAGTATGTTGCAAACTTTCATGCACGTTTTTGCACTTTTGTACACGCGTTCCTCCAATGACCGCAATGTTTCTCAAGCTCCCATTCAAAACACGCATCTTCATGTGTAGCATTTGCACATGCCTACAAATGTGCCAAACGTGCAAATAACCTCGCGCTGAACCTGGGCATACAAATGCACAAACACAATGCCGCCTAGTCATGAACCTAATGGCAGATCCGGTCACCTGTAAGGAGAGGGAGCCTTGACTGCTGGAATCATGCAGCAAGGATGTGGTCAGTAAAATGGACCCCTCCTGTATAAGGGGGCGTAATCAATTATTAATTGGGGGATAGCTTACAAAGGCAGAGACAAGCAAAGTGTTATAAGGCTGCATTCACATCACACATAGTGTTTGCGATTCCCACGCGGAAGTCCGTACAGGACGAAAACGCTAATGTTTTTCAATCCGCGCGAACGCCGCTCATTTGCAGCTTTTAAATAGCCGTGAACGTGCAAAATCCGCCGGATTATCACGCTTGCACTATTTCGGGGGGCGCACAGTTTCGTGCCGTACGGTCCCTGCAATGGTGTGAACGATGCACATTGTTTTTTGTGTTTAGAGCGGCTCAGCTCGTATCGATACAGCCGAATACGCGCGGAGAGCCGCTCAGATGTGAACGGAGTCTAAGTTGCAGGAATTGGGCTTGCTGGCCTCTTGGAAGTCAACCAGCAAACCGAATATTCCTCGCCTATTTTTTCTTTTCTAACATGTCACAGCTTTGTTGGCATGTTTTTGACCTTGCCAGCTTAATCGGTTACCACGTTAACTTTGCTGAGATTCTTTGATGGCGGGACATCTGTCTAGAACCGAAGGTGAAAACAGATTTTCTGCATTGTGTTATAAAGTCATGATGTTTGGGTGCTCACGGCTTATCCGTGACTGGCACGATTTAATGTAAACAGAAAAGAGAGTTATGTTTTATGTGATGATAATGCGTCAATTAAGCTGTGGCCTTGCCCTTTCAACAAAGTTATTTTGTCTAGTATTCATTGGCGGTGGGAGGGCAAGGGCAATGAAAGGATTTTCAGTGTAATAGAAGTGTTTAATGTCACTTTAACTATGATTCTCAGCAGTCATGGGACACAGCTGGGTAACAAAGCTGATAGGGGCTATAACCCTTCCATACTCTATCCAGGGATCCCAACCTGACATAAGTGATTTCAGGGAGGTGCCCTCTGTCAACTTGACCCCCCCCGCCCGCAGCAACAAGGAAGAGAGCACCCCCCTGAAATGATTGCAGATAGCAAAGAAGCTAATGCTTCCTTTGCTATCTGCTGCTTTTTTTGTGTTCTGACAGCTTCTGCCCTCAAGAATTAAAAAGCGGCATAGGAACTAATAGATTGCTATTGGCTATTTCAATTTGCAATAGCCAATAGCAAGCTGGCTATTCCACCCGCCCTCTGCTGCTGGCAGTCAGGAGAACTTCAGGTCCGCCTCTGCTGATTGACAGCAGCAATGGGCGGGTGCAATAGCTATTCTGCTATTGGCTATTAACAGCACGGAAAGATTTGCTCTGCTAGATCGAGCAGAGTAAACCTTTCCGAGAAAAAATGTTTCTCTCCCGGGCGGCCGAGAGCCGCTATCTAATAGCAGAAGACTCCCGGAACATCCGGGAGAGTTGAGAAGTCTGCTCTATCCAATTCTAAAACAAAGTTTCAGTTCTACTTTAACATATTCATTGGCAGAGACTGGGACAAGGTGACATCACAAGAACACAGTTGGGTGACAGAGGACGTAGTGATGTCCCCCATGAAGGGCCTGAACAAGGACCTCCATGGCAGGATCAACGAGTATTATGTTAATGAAAGCTGCAGATTTAAAAATCTTGAAATTGACGTTTGAACACATTCGCCCCCGGTGGAGACTACAAGTGGCCATGCCAACGCTTATTGCACTGGCATGGTCCACCGTTGTCATCATCAGAAAGCCAGTCCAGAGGAATAATGTTCAACCAATGCTGGAGAGAGGGGCTGGAGGAGATCGGCAGCACTGAGATGAGAAAAAAGATTTAAAAAAACAGGATTTTATGGAAACAAATGACATTTGTTTATGATACGCATAAGTGGAATTGATCAAAACGGGAACAGACAAAATCTGGAACAGTTGCCCTCTCTCTTTCATTTTCAAAGCTTGAAGGAGAACTATGAGGTGAGTGAAAATCACTCAGCCTCATAGTTCAAGCCGACGTGTGACAATTAAACTGTCACACTTCGGCTCAATAGATCGGGAAGTGAGCGAACACATACCGTCACTCGCTCACTTTTCCATCCTGTCCCTGCAGAGAGTTGTGACCGTCACTCACGGCTCCCTGCAGGGTTCCGCCCCCCCTCCCCTGTCCGATCCTCTAGTGCTGACTGTAGGATGCTAGTTTGTGTCCTCCCCTGACCCTGGGGAGAACTATTGGGAAAAGCACTGACCCCATAGTTCTCCTTTAACTGAACAAACTGAAGAGAGAAGCTGCTTGGATGCCATGGGCAACTGCTCCAGATTCTGTCTGCTCCAGTCTTGATAAAATCCTCTTTGCAGTGCTTTAGCAAACTATAGTTCACCCAGTGATGGTTTACATCTACTACAAAATCTCCCTTGTAGCTTAAAGTGCAACTAAAGACAACATTTTTGGATAGAGTAAATAGAATCCCTGTCAGATTTGTATTGCTGCCTGCAGAGGCGTCCACATAATGAGGCAGTAGCCTCAGACGCCATCTCAATGGGGGGGCTGCAGCACGAGCGACTAACAGTACCCCAATAATGCCCCCCAGTGACAGCTTGGCCGCCCACCGTCTCCCGCCCAG